AATATCCAGGATATTAACTGTTCTTTTAACCTGAAGAAGACAAAAATAGTTTTGTTGAAAGCGCTTGTTGTTTGTAGCGATAGATGTTGGTTATTAACGCCTAGACGATAATTTTCTCAACTTGCTTATCTAATATCTGGCGTGAAGTCCAATAATAATTATTCACTTTTAACGTAGGGGATGTCTTATTTTTCCATGAAGAAGAATTCATATTTATTGTTGAACAAAAAATTCCCTAGTCAAACTTAGATGAGAGTGACATATATCCAGTCGTGTCAAACTGAACTTAAATAAAACTGAAGTGAACTTGCAAAGTTCCTGTGCTGGAGTGGACTTCCCACTCTCGCTTCAACTTAACCTTTTTATAGCATTGACATCCAATGACCAATTAGTGCTTACTGAACCGTAGCACTATGCAGATGTGATGTAATGTGATTCCCGGCCAACCAATTAGCGATCACCAGCCATAACGTTATGCAAATCTGTGATTTCCAAGCCATAGTCTTATGCAAATCATGCCATGTGGCGTGATTGTCTGCTGACCAATCAGTGGCTGTACTTTCAAAAAGCCAATGGCCACTTTCAACTATCTGTCGATGACCATTATGAGTAAAGAAAAACTTTGCTAAGTCTTACTTTTGGGGGGAAGCCTTATATTTAGCAATTCAGCAAAACCTCTGTGTGGGGGCCGAGGGGGGGAGAAATTTTAAAAATCTCGATGAACAATAATAGGTGATATGTATCGTCATCGTCTCCCCTGCCGTTTGGATTGCCGAGCGGTAACAATCAACATGTGGAAGCAGTTGAGTCAGAGATAGATGCTTCGTTTACAAACAACACAACCGTTTATTAAACACGAAAGAAGCTTACAAGATTACTGCGATCTTGGAAGTTCTATGTCGGCTGCAGTCGCTGGGTCTTCCTCTCCTTTCCAAGACAGTCCCATTTTGAAGGAGTGTCCCTTGTTCGCGAAGGAACCATTCCATCACGTCTCGACGACTCCAGGACGATGCGGTTGACTTCCGTTGATGGAAAGATGTCGATCCGAGGTCGGGAGATGGAGACGAAGATGGGTGCGAGACACACACACAACAACAGATCCGTCACTTGGAACTTTCGGGAGAAGAATCCGTCGCGTCCTCGAATTTCCGGGGTTTTATCTGTTTTCTCTCAGATTTCCCTTTCCGATTGGTCTCCCGTCGTCACCTGATGACAATTCGAAACCTTTCGGGGCGCGGAAGAGGTCAAAATCGAAGATTAATTCGATCTCCAACCGGAAATGGTCGACGGACTTACATTCTTCTATTGTTTACAAGTCTTCTATTGTCTAGCGTCGCGTTTTCATAAAATAAAAAGCTATTTCTAACTACTATATTATTTTCTTTAAAACAATTATTTTCCGCGAATTTTAGTGAGGGTTCGGACCTGTCCAGAGCCTCACATCTGCTAGGTCTTATTTTCATAGGATGTCATATTTTCGGGGAAACACGGTATTAATATAAACTTAATTTTCATCAAAATAAATTATACTTTACATAAAAATATACAGTGAAACCCTGGTTAACGAACGTAATCCGTTCCACGAGTTCGTTCATTAACCGAACTGTTCGTTAACCGAAGCAATTTTTCCCATAGAAATTAATGCAAATACAATTAATCCGTTCTAGCCATCAGTATTTTTGTAATTTTATTTGTAAAATGGGTTTTCTTTAATGAAAATATAGGAAAACGTGTTCACAAACAGTTGATCTAGGTTAAATTTTCGGAAAAGGGGAAAGATTTGACAGGTATAAAAACATCACATACGATCGTTAAAGTTCTAAAATAACAGATAGCAGAAACAATAGGCTAAATTATGAGCGAAAGGCTTATAGGTTTATCAACAATCTCTGATCAGAGTCGACGAACAGGTGTCAAATAAAACGCCTCAGAACAAACCTTTCTCGTGACCTGATCTGGTTTCAGTTTTCACCTGAACACAAAGAAGAAAACAATCAGGAAGTGAGGAATGGGACGCAGGACTAATACAATACAGGACGCAGGAAGAAATACTATAAAAAGCCTGAATCTCAAGGTCAAAACGCAGTTTTCCTAAAAATTCTATGGCGATTAATCTGTGTCGTCTTCATCTGGATTAAGCCTGAAGTCGTGCCTGCTAAAATTTGTGTTGTGTCTCGCGGACTGCTCCAGTTGTTGCAGCTCTGTCACCTACCATCGCTTCTGTGACCAAGCGAACCCATCTCGTCCACTCTGGGGCTATGACTGATCAGCTTGCNATTCTTACACTTTAATTTGATATAAAAGTTAACATATATTATGCATATTTATTTAAATAAATATGCATAAGGCATTGTTATGGCTATTCAGACACTAAGCTTTGTTTCGTACAACACGGATTCACATAACACTGCAATTTTTTGGAACATAACTCCCGTGTTATACGGGGTTATGTAAGAATGAGGTTCAAATTTCCACCATAAGAAATAATGGAAAAACTTGTCCCAATTTATAAGATTAACTTACAACAAATTTTCAGGAACAAGATGTGCTTATAAATCAAAGTTACAATATAAAAGAAATTAAGCAAGGCATACAGCTAGTAGATTAAAAAAAAAAAAAACTCTAGAAACATGTTTTCTTTTAAATCAAACAAAAACTGAAATATTTGTGCTTCTTACAAAATAAATATTCTAACAACTGTCAATTGATAAAGACAATATTTGTATTTGGTATATATTTAGAATTAATTTTACATAGTTACAGTTCCTGAATAATAATTATAACAATTATTTCTTCATATCATAATTACTATTCAGAACTATTATTAAGATATTAAGTTTTGAATATTATTATCTCAAGATACTAATTTCTTTTTATTTTACAGATTTAATATTAAACTTCTAAAAGACTTACTATGACACCTTGTGAACGTGCAGCCCAAGTTTATTACTTCCAAACATTTTTGGTCATGTTAAATGACCTTTCTCACCAAAAGAAAAAACAAAATAAAAAACAAGAGGTTAAAAAAGAAGTTTTCTTTTTCTTAGAAAGGTCATTTAACATGACTAAAAACGTTTGGAAGTAATAAACTTGGGCTGCATGTTCACAAGGTGTCATAGTAAGTCATTTAGTATTGAATAATATGCAGTCTCGAACGAATTAAACTTCTATCATCATAATGAAACAAAATTAACAATAATGATCCAAATGATTTTAATTAAACATATTTTTTTTTTCATATATTACTTGTAGTAATTTAAAAATAATTTTTAAAAATCATTTCTATAATTAATCACAATTATATACATTTCCTCCAATTAATTGAAAGTTAATTCTAAAAATAAAAACAAACAATCATTGATTTAGTATGTGTTAAATCTTTTATTATTCAAATTTAATTAGACTACTGAAGACTACATAAACTGACAGAAAATCACATTTTTATTTATCAAAATTTTTTACTCCAACCACCAAACCATTTTTTAAAACAGTAGACAAAGAATATCAATTTTCTAAAATATTTTAATCTGTTTTCTTAATTTTAAAGTATTTTAATTATAATATAGGCCATATATATATATAGCTTATATAATTTTAAATAGTAAAACTATATATAATAATTTTACTATTTATATTTTAAACAGAACTTCTTGATGTACATGTAATTTCTGTTAAAATATAGTAAACATACCATATGGGAGTTCAAAATGAGCTTCAATAAGAATGCTGTGGCCAGTAGGTATTTTGGTCCCAACCACTTCTCCATTTGCCATGACTAACTCAGCATCTAAGGATAACCACTCCCCTTCTCCCACCTACAAAACCAAATTATTATTTTCAATTTTAAGTATTCCATTCTATTTTTTATTTTAAATTTGGAAATAATTTTATATTACAGGTAACCCCCATATAACACAGCACTTCTATAGCACGGATTCACTCTAACACGGTTTGAGAATTGAAACCATCTCTGTATAACACGGTAGTGTTATAGCACGGATTCACTCTGACACGGTTCAAGAATTGGGTAAAACCCTCATACAACATGAAATGTAATAAATTTTTACATACTTAAGTACTAATAGTTCACGAAAATTATTATTTTCGTGAACTATTAGTACTTAAGTATGTAAAAATTTCTTCATAAGTGCTTAGCACTATATAAGGAAATTTATAAAGATCTTTTAACTAGAAGCAAGCAATCTAAAATTACATACTTTTTGCAAAAGGTAGAGCATGGATCTGAAGATAATGCAGAAAAATGCTCAGAGGATAAGGATAACTTGCCAAAAAGAAAACNTTAAATGACCTTTCTCACCAAAAGAAAAAACAAAATAAAAAACAAGAGGTTAAAAAAGAAGTTTTCTTTTTCTTAGAAAGGTCATTTAACATGACTAAAAACGTTTGGAAGTAATAAACTTGGGCTGCATGTTCACAAGGTGTCATAGTAAGTCATTTAGTATTGAATAATATGCAGTCTCGAACGAATTAAACTTCTATCATCATAATGAAACAAAATTAACAATAATGATCCAAATGATTTTAATTAAACATATTTTTTTTTTCATATATTACTTGTAGTAATTTAAAAATAATTTTTAAAAATCATTTCTATAATTAATCACAATTATATACATTTCCTCCAATTAATTGAAAGTTAATTCTAAAAATAAAAACAAACAATCATTGATTTAGTATGTGTTAAATCTTTTATTATTCAAATTTAATTAGACTACTGAAGACTACATAAACTGACAGAAAATCACATTTTTATTTATCAAAATTTTTTACTCCAACCACCAAACCATTTTTTAAAACAGTAGACAAAGAATATCAATTTTCTAAAATATTTTAATCTGTTTTCTTAATTTTAAAGTATTTTAATTATAATATAGGCCATATATATATATAGCTTATATAATTTTAAATAGTAAAACTATATATAATAATTTTACTATTTATATTTTAAACAGAACTTCTTGATGTACATGTAATTTCTGTTAAAATATAGTAAACATACCATATGGGAGTTCAAAATGAGCTTCAATAAGAATGCTGTGGCCAGTAGGTATTTTGGTCCCAACCACTTCTCCATTTGCCATGACTAACTCAGCATCTAAGGATAACCACTCCCCTTCTCCCACCTACAAAACCAAATTATTATTTTCAATTTTAAGTATTCCATTCTATTTTTTATTTTAAATTTGGAAATAATTTTATATTACAGGTAACCCCCATATAACACAGCACTTCTATAGCACGGATTCACTCTAACACGATTTGAGAATTGAAACCATCTCTGTATAACACGGTAGTGTTATAGCACGGATTCACTCTGACACGGTTCAAGAATTGGGTAAAACCCTCATACAACATGAAATGTAATAAATTTTTACATACTTAAGTACTAATAGTTCACGAAAATTATTATTTTCGTGAACTATTAGTACTTAAGTATGTAAAAATTTCTTCATAAGTGCTTAGCACTATATAAGGAAATTTATAAAGATCTTTTAACTAGAAGCAAGCAATCTAAAATTACATACTTTTTGCAAAAGGTAGAGCATGGATCTGAAGATAATGCAGAAAAATGCTCAGAGGATAAGGATAACTTGCCAAAAAAAAAATGCTCTCGGTTAATAGTGCTTTTAGTGATGACAAATAATTTTAATAAAGATATTTATCTTAATTATGAAAATATAATGGCATGTTTTTTTAATTTTTGGAACCTAACCCTCCTTTTCGCACTAGTTCTTTGTTTCGTATAACACGGATTCACATAACACTGCAATTTTTTGGAACATAACTCCCGTGTTATACGGGGGGTCACCTGTACTCTTTTATATAAAACATAATGAATAATTAATAAAACATGATTAAAAATGCTTAATGAAAGTAATATCAATTAATTACAATGATTATCCTAATTATAATAAATAAAATACAAAGTATAAATTTATATAATTAAAATAAAAAATTTTTTTAAAGTTTTATTGTGATTCATATTATATAATAATAAATTATTGGAAATAATTCTTCTCTATCAATTTCTTATTTACTTTGTTCATTTAATAAATTTTAATCTTAAAAAAATTAACCTTCATTAAAATTTATTTAACATTACTGAATTATAAAAGTTTATATTTTTTTCATTATTCAGCATAATAATTAGTATTTCATTAAGTGCCTAATATAAATAATATAAGTAAACAACGCCTTTTTTAACAGTCCAGCAAAAACATTTAATTCTCTAATAATGTTTTCGATCGATTTTAGCAGCCTTCATCAGTTGCCTAATATAATTTGAAATTTCCATACAAGATATTTGATAATTAAAATCAACTCCAATTCAGATTCCAAGATAATTCTCAAATTTTATCTAACACATCCATTGTGTACTAAGTAACCAAAATATAATGTATCTGGAATACCAATTTTTGAAAACTTTCATTGACACATTCTAGCCAAATTCAAAATTAACAATAAGAAAAATGAAAATGCTTAAAAAATGTGAAATATAAAAATTTAACAGATGTTTTTTAACATTTTTGAAACAGATTACTTCTATTTTCAAAGGCCTTGTCCATTAATTATATGTACAACTTGAAAGAGATCCTGAAAAGTGCATCATTGTACACAATGGGGAAGAAGAAATCAAAAGTGGCCCAAAAACTATAGATGTAAAATCCAAATATAATGTATACTTGTAATTAATGGGTGACCAAAAATAAAACAACAAAACAAAATGAAATAAAATGAAAAACAGAAAAGAACATACAGGTATACCTCGCCTTACATCGGTAATTGGTTCCAGGAGAGGCGACTTAAGTCAAAAAACGACGTAAGTCAAATTTACTTGTCACTAGGCTAAACTACAAATAACCATTCCCAGTTCTGTATTTTATTTATAAATGCATTTTTAATAATATATTATTAACAAGAATCTATTTTAAGCTTACAAACAAATAAATTTTAGTTTTTAATATAGTACAGAAAAAAGTAATCTAAATTTATGAATTCATGTACGACAGTACATACTTGTAAATGTACATATTTACAATTTGGCAATGTTTACAGTACATCATGCTCTATTTGTGAGTGTGATTTGCTCTAAGACATTAAAAAATAAGATGATTTTGTAAGGTTAAATAACAAATACAGTTATTAAAATTATCTTGTGATAGTAGAAAATAAACTAATTTATATTAAATTTACCAATATCGAGTAGCACTGACAATGACGCCAAATGGTAGATATTGGAACTACCATGGAAAACACCAATATTGAGCACTTAAAGACCACTAAATAAGATGACAACACAGTCACAGATGTTTTCATGTTTCGTTCTCTAGGATTTGATGATGATTATATTAACATTTACTGTAAATGTACATATTTTAATATGATTTTATGTGCTTTAACACTTTTCTGGTAATATTTTGACTTCAATATTTGTGGTGGACAGACATAAAGTTGAATAAAATAACTTAAACTTGATTTTTATTTTTCCATATATAAAAATTATGTGGAAAAATTGTATAATCAAATAATGACAAACAACGTATAATCGAGGACGACGTAACTTGAAATGATGTAACTCAAGATATACCTGTACTTAAATACTATATGGAACTGTATTTGTTTACAATGTACAAAATTTGGATTTGTAAATGATATGATAATGTTAAATCAAAAAACAAACTGAAAACTTTACCTTTGAAGTCAATGATAATCTTATAGATTTATTCTTGAGGTTGGATAAAAACAGAGAAGTATATGCATTATTTAAAATAACGTGTAAAGCATATAACAAATTTATTTTATGTTTTAGGAACAGTTCTCCGTTACATAAATGCCAAACAAGGAGGAAAAGAACAGACTACAGAAAAATCAGAATTGACAAGCGATCAAGATAATTATTACGATTCATCTGATGAAACAGATAGTTGATATTAAAAGAATAATTAATTTTTTCCGCACCTCGCTTTAAAGTTTATAATAGAATAGAAATGTATATAGATAGCCAAATCTGAATTATATTAATAATCAAATCCATCCATATAATTTTTTTTTACTAAAATATAAATGTTAAAATAATTTAATATATCCATTAAAAACTCAAATTAGATTTATACAGATTGATAGTCCTTTATCCAAAATCTTAAAATTGTTTTAGTGTTAAATGACGCTCCACAAATGGAAAATTCCACAAAGTACTGTGATAGTTTCAGTGTTCTCTTCATGCTGATAAGTTTAATGAACAGTATATTATACACAAAATGTATGATTTTTTTGTATTTTTTGAGTGTAGTTTGATCCAAATTTTTAACACGATTATCAGAACACATTTAAAATTTAATAAATATACTTCTTTTAAACAGATTAGGTAACACCTCGATATAAATATCTCTAAAATTATTTTCACATGTTTACAGTAGATACTTTTAAAATATCTATTCACATGTAAACATGTAAAGATTATTTTCTATGATAATCTTATATGAAAATCTTAGTGGCATTTTAAAAGTATGTACAGCACATTTTAAGATTGTTTTTACTACTATTCTAAATCTATTAAAATAGTTTAAAATTTTTTATATAGATTTACAATATTATAAATTGATAAAATTGTATATAAATAATCAAATTTATAAAGTAGCTGATGGTTATTGGTGGATATAAAGTTTTAGCGCTAAATTTACAAGTTTATAATTCGACAAATAAAAAGATACAGTGGAACGCCCAGTANAAAGTAATCTAAATTTATGAATTCATGTACGACAGTACATACTTGTAAATGTACATATTTACAATTTGGCAATGTTTACAGTACATCATGCTCTATTTGTGAGTGTGATTTGCTCTAAGACATTAAAAAATAAGATGATTTTGTAAGGTTAAATAACAAATACAGTTATTAAAATTATCTTGTGATAGTAGAAAATAAACTAATTTATATTAAATTTACCAATATCGAGTAGCACTGACAATGACGCCAAATGGTAGATATTGGAACTACCATGGAAAACACCAATATTGAGCACTTAAAGACCACTAAATAAGATGACAACACAGTCACAGATGTTTTCATGTTTCGTTCTCTAGGATTTGATGATGATTATATTAACATTTACTGTAAATGTACATATTTTAATATGATTTTATGTGCTTTAACACTTTTCTGGTAATATTTTGACTTCAATATTTGTGGTGGACAGACATAAAGTTGAATAAAATAACTTAAACTTGATTTTTATTTTTCCATATATAAAAATTATGTGGAAAAATTGTATAATCAAATAATGACAAACAACGTATAATCGAGGACGACGTAACTTGAAATGATGTAACTCAAGATATACCTGTACTTAAATACTATATGGAACTGTATTTGTTTACAATGTACAAAATTTGGATTTGTAAATGATATGATAATGTTAAATCAAAAAACAAACTGAAAACTTTACCTTTGAAGTCAATGATAATCTTATAGATTTATTCTTGAGGTTGGATAAAAACAGAGAAGTATATGCATTATTTAAAATATACACATCAGACTACTTTTAAGTAATGTTTAAAAATTTAAAATAAGAATATTAATATATATTTTATTTATGTGTATTTATATATATTAATATTCTATATATAGACTATTTTATCAATGTAGGAATGATTTTACAAATGATTAAACCTAAAAACATACTTGAACTCTAATCAAAAACTGAGAGACTATTTTTTTCATGATATTCAAATCCATAATGTACTCGTAAACTGAATAATACTGATGCTAAGAGATAAATTTTTAAGGAGTCCACATCTCAATTTTATTTACAAATTAAACATTCTTCAGGATATTTGCTCCCATCATCAGATTCTACTATTATACAAAATAGATGGCCTACTGAAGATTCTACAATTACTAAAGATGGCCTATCATAGTGGGTCAAAAACACTAATGTTTGTTTAATAAACATTTCTTAGCATCAGGTGTTTGATGATTCATTAAGTACACAAAGAATGAATCAAATGAAATCAAACATTTTTCAGGAATAATATCAAAAAAAAAAAACACTTCATTTGTAAATAAAATTATCTGTGAACTCCTTTAAAATTTGTTTTTTAGCATCTGTATTAATCAGAAACA